AAGCTCTACAAGAGAGACGTGACAGAGGGGAGGACAAGATTGAGTGGGAATATTTGTGACGGAGCTGTGTACAGCTACGCTTGATGCGAGCCTTTTGTTTACTGCCAGTTGCAAACATGCTTGAATTCCACTTTGTGATACTCTGGCATTTCATGCCAACTGTTATCATTTGTGATTCCTGTGGCTTTGGTCCTTGCACAGGAAATTCAAAGGTTCAACATTAACGTTCAATCAAACGCCAGTCATGTGTCGCAGGGGCAAAACACTGCTGCTCACAATCCTGACTTCCCTTGCCATCTGTCGCATACGGCCGTATTTCATTCGCACCGAATCCCCGATCATTGAGGACGAAATCTACAACGATCTAGTTCCCGATTGCATTTGTCGCTCAAATGCGCGCTTATGAACTTCCCAATCTATTTAGGTTCTACAATATCGACTGCTTGATATCATCCTCCTGAGCTTTTGCCCGTGTGTGACCCTGCCGTCCCAACATTGAGAACGCAGAAGCACAGCAGTCCTCCTACTGAACTTATCCACAGACCCGTCCTCGGAACGTGGGCTTTGAGCGGCTTTCGGCGGCGGATCGAAAGATGCGAAAGGCAACTTAGCGCTTTGGATTATTCGCACTCCTGTCCATTACTTTTCTCCTCTTCCCCAGTTCTCGTCTCATTCTTTGGGGGCGTCCCGCAACAAGCCTTTATGTTCAGTGCCAGCAATGGATAGCCCAACCAAAATCACCTCCATCCCATCTGACGTCCACCACATGCTCAGCATGCTCAGCATGCTCCCCAACTTCTACAACCTCGGTGCGATGATCCTCACCCATTGGTGCATCCACGACGTGTATAATACAAAGCGTGAAGAATGACCCTGTTGGACGATGTTGCCCGTAACCTGCTTGGATGTCTGTTTGACGAGGGCGTGCTCCTGGAATCGACACTACGGCTCTCTTCCGCGTATTGTGATTGGCCAACTTTCAATGTCGTTTCTCCACTGCGAATTTTGGGAGTGAAGTTCGATCTCGATCTCTCGTTCGTCCTCTCCTCTTTCTCTTGCACGATGAGCCACCTTGCATTCCTGAAATTTGTTTACAAGGTGGCATCGTAGTACATACGTGGGTGCAGATACGTTGAATAACATGCAGCCCAGAATTATTCCTTCATAGTTCCTTGATAATGCCTTGCATTTTTTTCTTGTGTGCCTTGCTGCTCCAATGCGGCGTGTGTTTCTGCACTTTAATCGACCAGCTTTCATTCAAACCGCATTCCTTTGCAGCTTCCACGCTGCAGGACGTGTTCTCGTGTCTTTTTTTATACGAGTTTAGCCATGAGAGAAAGGGGGCGCACTGGCAGTACATTGGGCTCTGTCACAGCTATGGAGGCGAAATATCGACCTCTCAGCTCACGGACATCTCAGGCGCGCAATCTTTCTTTGTTGTTTTGACATCTTGCTCAAACCCATCAGACTTTTGACAGATTGCTTGTCATCCTTGTTTGACCTTGTACAAGGTCAAAAAAGGCCAACAAGGTTGAAAGGTCGCAAGGTCGCAAACGAAGATGACATTTTTGCAAGGTCAATATTTTCCCTCAAAATTTTTTAAAAAAGAATTGTCCTGGACCTCACTCGCAATTTCCTGGGGGATGTTTTTTGACATTTTTGCTTGTGGGACCTTGTGAGCTTGTTCACAAGCTCACAAGGCCAACAAGGTCGCAAGATTTTTGTCAAAAGGCTGATGGCCCGTCTTGTCTAGGATCGTGAGATAAGGCCTGTCACAGCGTGATTTATTAAATCATAACACACATGCGCCATACTAGTTCTGAATGCAGTTCTGTCCAGACCCTTGCAGGCGACATTCAAAGGAATAACGCATATCCCGTGAAATGAGCGAATCGTGAGCGATTTTGAAATCCCTTCTTCTGCACTTTGACTGTGATTTGGCTGGCAGATTTATATTCGGAGGGTTTGGAACATGAATTTTGTCGTTCCTGCCCGTGTCTTGAATCGGCTTTTACAGAAATTGGAGTGTTTTATATGCTGAGGAGGAACATAGACTATGTGAGCTTGCAAGCCTCGTGTGTTGATTCATTTGAATTTGACCCTCCTAGTGATCAGCAAGGGTCAGGTCACCCGTGGCGGGTCGCGGGTACGGGTGACCCCGGGTACGGGCACGGGTACGAGTTAGTCTACCCGCACCCACCCGCGTGCCAGACCCGCGGATATTTTTGGGTGCCAATTTCAAGTTGACCAAACTGGACGAAGACATATCTGCCATTGCAAAAATGCCAGAGGTTGATAAGAAGGGCGCGAAGGGGTCCATGAAGGGCAAGGAGAAGATTGTTGTTGAGCTTCAAGTCAACGTAGCGGGTGTTTGCAGTGGTATTAGTTCATAAACACAACTGATTTTCGTCTGCTAATAAATAAAATGTGATATTACTGTATGGTGTGATGCGGACTGCGGTGCTTCAAACTGCCAGATGGTGGGGAGATCTGGGCTATGTTTAAATGCTCGTCCTCTAGGGGGATTTGTTCTGTTGCGGTAGACAAGTACATAGGGAGGTTTTATATAATATTGGTGGGGATATCCGTACAAGGATTGAACAATTTGTTCAAAATCCTGCTAGCTAGGGTGGACCGAGCGAACTCCAAAGCCTAGTTAGCCTACTCAGGTTAACGGAAATTGAATCTGTTCTACACTTCCTCGGAGGAGGAACTCCGGAAGGCGATGTGGGGTCCAATTCATCAAGTCCAAGGTGAAATATGGGTTTTTAGGGGGCTTCTTGGACCTTGAACCACGGCCGTCTGAAGTATATTTGGGTTGTTGATCGTAAGACCAGGGGAGTTATGTGTCCGTGGTACCGTTCCCGCAAGTTTCTCCTCCTTTTACCCTTCTTTGTGCCTCTACGGAGTTTCCTCTCTCTACTTCCCAACCCATTTGCTTGCTGAAGGCGACTTCCTGCAGGCTCCGCACCACCAACTTCCTTAGCTAGCAGCTACACACAAACTCCAAAGACTTGTTGGGCTGCTTGAGAGATTTCACTGCCCTACTAACATAGGGGAGGAATACAAGGTTCAATAATCAACATTGAACTTATGTCGAAATGAAACTCTGTTCGCTGTCTCGCAGCAGCGAGGGAGTACTGGAGGTTGATTTACTGTATAACTCGACTCTGGGTGACCTCTAGGTGATGTTTGGGTGGTTTTTTAGCTACTCCTAAGCTGGCTAAGGCTTAGAAGCTGAGAATGTGGGCTGAAACTGAGATGATATTTTGCTAGACAAGCTGTAGTAATTATACCCCCAGCCCAAGGCTGTGCCAGAGTTGTTCCTTTGTGTCCCAATCCTGCTCACTCACACACTCCTCTGCCTGGAGCTTGCCTGTGACTCACTATGGACTCCATGAGGCTATGTCCGTACCGTTCCCTGTATCAGGCACCGACTCCATGGTCCAGAATCACTCACCCTAGTCCCGGTTAGGGAGGTACACGGGTTCGGGTAAACCCGATAGGTTTGCGGGTTGAGCATCTTTTCTGCTTTTGCTCGCGCTAGCGAATGCCCCGTCGCTCCGAGTGATTGTACGCTTACTGAGGCGGAGCTCAGGTGTGTCACTAACTTCCTTTCCTATGTCAGTCCTGGACTCCTGACAAACATTGTTAATAGGGCGCATATTGTCCACTGGTTGCGGAGAACAACCGGCCCCACAGCACAGTAGAAGACTGTGAGTTCAAGTACATTCTCGGGGCTGGGCAACCCAAATTTCGTCTGTCGGGCCACCGTACTGTGGCCCGTGACCTCAACGCTGCATATGAATGCAGCCGTGCTTATGTTCAGAAATTGTTGGAGGTATTCGTCTGTATTCTTTCTAGCCAGCATGTTCTGACCAAGCCATAGCAATACCCTGGCCACTTGAGCTTTGGCACAGACACATGGACATCACCGAACGACTGGGCTTTTGTGGCGTGGATAGTTCACCTTTAGCACGAGGGGGAACTGTTATCATTCCCGCTGATGTTTATGAAGTTCTGGAGGTGCGTGGGCCTTCATCAATGGCTAATAGTTTTGACTGACGTTACCTTAGTCCCACACAGGCCAAACTCTTGCGCGAGAATTCGATGATATGCTCGCCAGGTTCAACATTCAGCACATTCTAATTTCACACAAGAGCAGTGCTGATTTGGAGAAGATTTTGGCATGGACCAGGGATAATGCAACCTCTAACGACATGCAGAACAACCATCACTCAGGTGCTTATGACTATGGACAAGATAGACGACCTTATCACTGCGACAGTCGTCACATCTTCGCTCCAGCCGGGTGGTGCTCCAAAACATGCCCTTCACAGCTCCATTACATCTGCCCTCAAGCTCGCCAAGTCGACGCTGAACAAATACTATTCCTGCACTGACGACTCAAACATTTATCGAATTGCTATGGGTGTGTTCACGTGTTCGTGCCATACTCTGGCTGACCTGGAATTCAGTTCTCCACCCCAACTACAAACTCGAATACTTCTGTGCACAGAAATGGGAAAAGGCCTGGATCGAGATGGCAGAAAGTCTTGTTTGTGAGGAATTCCAAGCAAATTATGCCTCCACTGCCAACAGTGATGATCAAGGCACAGATGGCACCAGCGATGGCGACGCGATATGCTTCCAAATGCCTTGAGAATCAAGTTTTACCTTAATAATTACTTCCAGATGAGCATGTCCTCAAGCCAGGTTGATTTCGATGATGCATCAAACTGGCTTGAGGATATCCCGATGCCTGATGCTATTCAAGGCACCGACGAGCTGCAGGGATATCTTTCCCAGCCTCCCGAGCGCACGAGGGTCAATCCCCTCTGCTGGTGGTGGGATAAGCACCCTGTTTGGCCTGCTCTCGATCGGAGGGTACGGGTCCGGGTCAGTGCCTCCAGATCCTAACCCATACCCGTGTCCAACCCTAGTCCTGGACATTCCTTTTCCAATCCTAACTCCCCTCTGGTCCAGATTCCACCTGTAATGGCTTGATGGCTTAGAGGTAACACACTCCATATTGTTCGCCCCAGTGTTTGACCATTTTGGAGAGACCCGGAGTTCGATCCTCCGTCGAGCCATTCTCTTGTGCAATCCACCTTTTTCATCTACTCGAGTTCCTGTCTGTGATCGCATGCCTACACAGCTCGATGGCCTAGTTCGAACATGCCCTGCCTTAGGGCTCTTGCACAAGTGCCTTTTGCAGGAAGTCCGGAGTTCAATTCTCTGTTGAGCCATTCCTCTGTTCCATCCCTTTTTGTGCCGATTATCGGACCTCCATACGGTCACACCTATGGTCCGGTGGCGTAGTGGTAACACACTCTGCTTACGTAGCTGGTGGGAAACTGAATAATAGAGGGTCCAGAGTTCGAATCTCCGTCAGACCTGCGTTTTTGTCCATTGAGGATTGCAAGTACACTTTTGAACGGTTCAGTGGCGTAATGGTATCGCACTCTGATTCTATGTAGTTCACGGTATGCTTTTACAGAGGGTTCGGAGTTCGATTCTCCGCTGAGCCATTCCCCTGTTCCCTTTTTTTGCAATGTGTTTCCCTTCCACAGAATCTCTGCTTGATGTGGATGGATTTCTCAAACAGCTTGGTGGCGTAACGGTAACACGCTCTGTTGATGTTCTACAGTCGCCTCTCTCTTAATCCATACCCCTTGGTCACAGGACAAAGTATGGGTTACCGCAGAGTATGGGTTCCAGCAGAGGTCTATAAATAAAATGCACAAAAATCATTAAAAATCATAGAAAATATCTACATATTCATACAGTGAAGGGATCATGAATTTAAGGAGGGATCAAATGCTTCGAGTATTCCTCACATCTTCCACATCGAAGCCCACAGTTTTACCCAAAAACAGCTTCTTATGAGTCACCGGTACTGAGGAAGTTCTCTCTTGTCAGCTACGGGGCCACGGTTTTCCCACATGGTGAATATACAGATTTTCCTTGCTGAAGGCACCATATCAGACAGGCACAGCATGGTTGGAGCTCCATGGCAAAGCCCCAAAACAATCAGAGTCTCTATTTTGTGCTGAGACATGAAATCAAGTGAGCTTGGTGATCTTTTGCAACCATTTTTGAGTGCAGAAAGATGTTCACTGAGAATTTCACAAAACTGAAAGGAGGTATAGGCCATGCAGGTAGAAATTCTCCAGAAATAATGACAAAAAATCAAATGAGATAGGGTTAAATTATGGGTTATGGACCTCCAGAAAGGTATGGGTTATGGGGGACTAGAGAGTTATGGGTTGTAATTGGTAACCACCTTGGTTACACCAAAAAACTATGGGGTACTGCAGAGTATGGGTTATGACGAGTATGGGTTAGGACAGAGGCAACTGTATATCATAAGACAGACAGTTTGGAGTTCAATTCTCCATCAAGCTATTGACAAACCCTTCTTTTTAGACCATTGGCTTTTCTGGGTTATTCAATTCGTACGGCTTGGTGGTGTAATGGTAATGCGCTCCGTGTTGTTCTAAAACATTTGTATATCGCAAGACAGACAGTTCGGAGTTCGATTCTCTGTCAAGCCATTGGTTGGGTCAGGATAATATTTTTAACTCGGAGTTGCTTTTGGTGGTTATTTGAGCTAGACTCTTTGAACAGCTTGGTGGTGTAAATGGTAATGCACTCCATGTCCTTACGTAGTGTTCGTATATTGTTCGACAGAAAGTCCAGAGTTCGATTCTCCGTCAAGCCATTGCGTCTAAAATATTTCTTTTGTTGTCCAAGAACAGCTCGGTGGCGTAGTGGTAACACATTCCGAGTTCCTACATAGGTGTTTTGTTTTCAGAAGGTACAGAGTTCGATTCTCCATCGAGTCATGTCTGGGTAAGGTGGCCTTTGTTAAAAATTCATTGTCAAGCCATAGCCACATTCTCGGAGTTTGGTGTTTTGAGGTCACATCGGGAGCTATCACAACGTGGTGGCTCACAATGGATGAATAAAATGTGTAATATTACTGGATGGGTTTGGCGGGTTGCAGGTACCCATAGGCCCACCAAAATCGATGGGTACCCACACCTGTGCCCTCAGGCTGGATACAAGGTGGGTACGGGTACAGGTCCCGCTGACATTGCCCATGGGATACCTGTGCTGATCACTAGACCCTCCCACATGGCAAGATCTTACAGACGAGTGATTGAGCCCACCCTCTTGTATCCATCTGTTCCTGCCACGCGAGGTCTGTGCTTTGTCTCCGAGAGTGTTGCCTATGGTTCTATGGAAAGCCACCAGCTCGAGGCCATGGGCCCTTGCTACTGACTTCATGTCACCACCTCAGTCTGCTTGGTGGGGTTTCCTCCGTCCAGGACTAGTGTACCTCCACTGAGAGCTCCTCTCGGAATTTCTTCCTACAACTCAGACTGGACGATGGAACAGCCCCTGAAGATGTGCTACACATGCAGGAGGGGGGGACATCTGGTGTGCATTTGATTATGTGATACTTACTCTCCTTCCCGGATTGCTTGCAGTCCATTCCGAGTTCTCATCCTCACCCTTCCATACATACCAGTTCCCACTCCTCTGACGGGCACACCTGTGGTGGTGCTGGCGCTTACAGATGCCCCAGGCGGCCCACCCACCCACAATTCCTATTTCCCGTCTCAACCACTACGTAATCTCTCCAACAATCAATCGATTCTGACAACTACCCCCACAGTCCTACACTTGCCCTGAAAATGCTGCCTCCCACTTTGCCAGTACAGGGATTGCCCCAGCGACCAAGAAATGCTACAAATGCTGTGGCGGCAGCCACATTGCCTGTGAATGCCCCAAGGAGACCCAATGCTACAACTGCAGGGAGATGGTGCATCCCATCCCTGCTTGCTGTGTCATCATTCACAATACTAACCTCAAACTTGGCAAGGGGCACATCAGCTTTTAGTGCCCACATCCACAAAAGTGTCATCACTGTGGCAAGGAAGGGTAAGTGCATTCGGTTCTTCTTTCATTGCGTCTGGTCTGGCCGCCCTTCCACTCGAGACTGAATAAACTCCATCTTGTGCAGACACGAGGCAAGGGGATGCCTGGACATCCTCGACTTTGCTCTGAAATTCCTCGAAATGACTTCGTTCCAAACCCAACTGCACACTAAGATGGAAGACCAGAGACACTGAGTGCAAATATGAGGAAGAAACTACATACATACATCATGCCGTGTTTGGAGAGACTGCCTTTCTACTTTTCACTTGTCCATTCTTTTCAAACCAAACCTCTGCCTGATCTGGATGCCACTGCCCACTGGACTCTCAACTCGGTATCTTGTATGCCTACACCCAGTGTTCTGTCAAACGGGAAATTTGGGACAATGTTGAGGTTTGGCTCAGGGACGACCTAGTACAAAATGTCTGAGGTGCTGTGGGTGGGCTGGGGGAAGATGCATCAGTGATTTGACATTTTGGTTGCAAAGCTTTTTAGCTTGGCAACAGTAGCTGACAAGCTCACAAGCCAAGACGTCAAAGAAACCGGTATCTAAAATGGTGAAACGCTGACTATATGAACACTAATGAAGTCAGTCTAATATAATGGCTCAATAAACCACTATAAAATACCAACAACATCACTATGTCCGCTACAATCAGACTGTGGGTTCGGGGATTCCAACGTTAAAACACTGTATGCAATTTGGCTTCACAATCAAAGAAATAGTTCTTTAATTAATGTTGGTTATGCAACTATCTAAACCGTTCCAGGTGCTATACGCAGACTAGATGATTTGGAAAGTTGGGTTTTTATCACAGGGTTGTGGAATATGATTCCAAGGGCGATCAGTGAAGATCTTGGAGGTTTGTTTCTGTATAACGCTCACAAATATGTAACGAACAATATTACTATTGCACATGTACCAAATGCTCACAGCCAGATATTTCCTTATGCCAAATGTCCAGAAACCAGATATGCCAGATGCCAGATATACAGATTTCAGATATTCAGATATTCAGACTTTGCCAGATGATCAAATATATTCTGAGACCGAAACACAAATTGTAGAAACTAAGAGCTTCCCTAACGGTATTCCGAATGAATGCTAGACTTTCTCTGGGCATACAAGCAAGGCTTGCACTAGTAGAGAGAAAGGGTAGATTCACTGGCGTTCCACTGCTAAACTACTGCCTTTTATACAAATGAACAATCCCAAAACAGAAACAAAAAATAAAGAACGAGTTTGGTACAAACAGATAAACAGAACTTGGTGGGCCGCGGGCACCGCACTATTTGGGTATCAAACCAAACCTGTTGAATGTTAGTTTATGTTCCAATAAATATTCTAGGGTATAAGTGGCTGTACAACCATGTGGCCAGGGTATAGGACAAACATAGGCTGATTGCACTGATCTTGGCTCGTACTGGGCCATCTGGGGTCCCAATAATGTCAGATAAATGTGTATAAAAGCGTATACAAACATCTGGATAGAGATACATGACAGAAAGCCCCATCCATATACCACGGTATAACAAACTGCGGGTTTTTTGCCAACCCATGGTTATTTACTGCACACGCGGGTATGGGTTATGGTGTCACAGGTCACGGGTATGGTATGGATCACGTAGGTCACGGTATCCACCCGTGTCATACCCTAGCCAAGCCGAGCCAGCACTGGTTTGGCTGATTAAACCAAAACCCGCAGCCCTCCTTGCTGCAATATCTACTCCGTGATTGGCTCCTCCGTAGCCCCCCAAACCAGTTCATCATGGCCCCGGGTTCGGATACATATCCGAGCATAAGCTGAGCTGGGTCATCAACAATATCACGCCTGATCAGGGTCAGCAATTGTCGGACTGGCCTCCTGGGCATCAATGCAGGTCCCCTTTGACCGCCGATGCCATAGATCATTAATCCATAGTATAGTCCTCTTTGTGTGAACCTTCCAAATGGATAATATATGTGCCCTTGGTAGGAAACATGCCAACAAGCCCCAATCCAATCAAATGGTTGGGCGAGCTGTTAGCCATATTGAACTTAGATACTCTTGTAATATGACCCGTAAGGTGGCTGTCATATAAGTCATACCAACTCTCTCAATGGCACATGCTATACCCTTAGCTATCTGCTTGGACCTCCGCAATAGCTCTTGGAGAAACATTAATTAATGTTGTATTCAGCTTGTGGCTTCGTATAACTGATGCAAAATTGAAAGATTTCACGCTGGTTCACTTAGCCGGCTTATCAACAGATTGACCTTGGTAAAGAGAGCTGATCATTGTACTGGTTAACATGTCGGAAAAATCCTGATCAGCTTCAAATGTCTTGGGACACGTCCCAGGATGCCGCAAGGTCATATGGTTTTAAGTGGCCTGCAACACAGAGGTAAGAAATCTGTAACATCTTCCGAGAAATGCCGTGACTTCCAAGGTCTCAAGGTGCCTGGGTGACAGCTGACATCCCAGTAACACCCAAGGTTTCGCAAGCTCCGCATATCTCTTTGAGCAACCTATGCCTTGCCTATACCTTGCGCGGCTCAGAATATTCGCATCAGGGCACCAAAAAAATCGTTAAAATGGAAGCGGCGCAGAATATTTGCTGGTTTTGAAATTTTCTTCATATCGAACCCGGCCAACAATCACAACAAAACATAATGATGACTGAGCAAGCAGTCATTGTCATAGTGCAGGCGTGGACGGCTTTCCAACAGCATGTGAGGTCTCAACTCCTGTGCTTTCTCTTGCCTGGACCAACATTGAAGTTTATAATAAGTCTGAAGCCTGGGATGACGAGTTGATGTGGGGATTATTCTCCCACATACTGAATACCGACAAGGAGTTTAGTTACTCTCCATTCCAACACATCATGGCGAACATTTAGGACGATCTCCAGGGTGCTTCGGTACTTATGGATCAAAAACTACGTTGACGATCATAAAACGACATGAGAGTTGCACTGCGCAGAGGGATTTTTTTGAGATTGGCGAGGTTTGCACCAGACGGGCAGTAACAGATAGTGAGGTCTTTCTGTCAATGAGATCGCGGATGTAGGGGTATTTCAACACGATGTGTTTCTCCTTGTCATGCATTGCATGTCGGCGCGCCAATGCCCAGTTCCTGAAGGGTGCCAACTTCGTTATACTGGTGCAACCCAAGAAACGTGCTGGAATACTTGAGTTCCAGCTTTTTCAAGTATTGCCTTTTGATGATCTTGACCACAGAAATCAGCCGGGGCACAGTTGAAACAGTGTGCGAGGATGAAGGGGGATTCGTGATGGGGGCTCCTTCGAGAGTTTCGGCCAGCATTTCACGAGTTTCCGGAAGAGTATGAAGTACGAGGGGTATAAATTCATATTTCTGAAAGTGAGAAAATCAACAGATAAAACTCGATCTTTGACAAACATTGAGGACACAAGCGCAAATCAAGCGCGAATGCCACCCACATCTTGATTTTACCGTGATTGTGATCCGGATGAGCTGGGGATTCTGTGGTTCATCTCCGGAAGACTCTTCGCGCCCTTTCCCTTTGCCTTTCCATTGTGTTGATACTGAAGTGATGTGACTTGTCACGCACCTAGTCTCTCGTACAGACGCTTCAACAAATGAAGCT